TAAATAACTAGACCTTTCTCCAGTCAAATCATCCTTGGGTGGCTGGGTGGGGAAGTCTCTGGCTCAGCAGCAATCTCTCAGAGGTCAGCATGCTCTGTAACTGTAATTTCCTTCATGTAATGAACAGGCTAGAAAAAGGCAAAGCAACTATTCAGCAACTGGACCAAGGTGTTGTATAAGTTTATGTGAAAGCAGAAATACCTCCCCAATTTTTTCATGCCTTAAACATCTCAGAAAGCTATTTTCAATGTTTAATCCTTCCTTATTTGGTTACCCCCATCTAGAAACAGATAATTACCACAACTATGAACACGTTAATATCACGAAACTGCATTCTTCGTATGTCTAACAGATTCCCTCAACAAAGACATTAGCATTTGATCAATGTCTATATGACAGTTTACATATGCATGTACATGCAATATGACCAAGCTTCTTTCCATCACCATAAAGGGCTTCTACACACAGGAAACAAGCCAGTTGCTATAAATAAACAGAAGCACTATCAAAGTGCATCACAGACTGTGAGAAATGGACCTGGGTGGCTTGTTTTGCTCTTTCATTGGTGGTATTTTTACTTACTGCTGGGTTTTAAGCAGAATGTGATGGACGCCATCACATCTTTGCATGTTCTTGCGTAACTGAAGCAAAAGGAGTTGGTCAGATGCTATCCCAAAGACAAGGCATTCACATCACCTCAGGTCAACCCTCGGCAGACATCCGAGAGCTAAATAGGAACAGTCGCTCTCCTTCTGCAGCCTTTACTTTTGCAGCTATATCCCCAACACATCCCCTCTTCTTGTCAGGCTCAACAAACTGCTCTGCCAAAGGACTGAGCAGCAAGCATTTGTATTCAGACTGTCTTTGCAAGGCCTGGCAAATTTCAAGAAGAAGCCTTGTCTGGCAGCCTTAACTTGCATAAAACTGCACTCCAAATTACTAGCTTCATTGTATGGACTAGCTACATAGTGGTGTCTGAAAATTCAGAATAAAGCCTTTAAGCTAGCTAGCACAGACAGACATTTTTATCTCTGAAGGCTAGGCAGGATAAAATATTGACACTTGCTGTGTGACACATTTTTACATGCCCTAGCCCTCAATGACACAGGGAATGTACACGACAGAAAAGTAAATGACTAACCAAACAGAATGAGTCTTCTTCTCATCTCTGTTGAAATCTGACAGGTCCTCAATCATCGGCCTTCTACAGCCTTAATTTCTTTTCCATAAATCCCACCCCTTCCACAACCCTACCCCAACATTTTGCAGAGATGCAGAAACCACTCCTGCCCAAAAATAGAGAATCAAACATGGAATCAAACAGGACCAGCCTTAAACCTATCCCAGGAAGTCTGCAATTGAGCTGGTTCTGAAATTCCCAGTACCACCAACCATCATCCCTGCCCCACCTCAAATCACAGTTTAGACTGCAGACCGACTATGCATGTAGCCACTCAAAAATGTAGATAAACATACTTGGAGCAATCAGTGTCAGACTTCAATCCATTGCTCAAGCTCCAGCAGCATTACACAACCAACCTGGTCCTGCAGACTGCACACTAATCCTAGTCTCTAAATCCCTGCCCATAGACAATCCTCACAGAGACACCCAAAATTTCAGCATTTCGCTTTCAAAACATTCAGTCCCAGCACACAGCTTACCACAAAGGGCACAGCAGGATTCAAAAATAAACACAGCTTTACAGCACCTATTTTGTGGATTGTTTAGTCGAGCTTGCTGCTGACATCTGCCAAACCCACAGAGGCTGAGGATTATCAATAGATTTAAATTCCCTAATCTGAATTTTTGGACAGCCAAGTCTTTAAATCTGCTTTCTTTGACAGCTTTTGGGTTTGTCTGAAAAACGAGTTTTGTGCTTGATAAAATTACTAGTGGAAACCAAATCCCAAAGAGTATATGCCAGCATTATCAATAGTCCAGTATCTTTCCTCTGTTAAGCTTCAAGAAACCTCCAGTTACTTTGTAAGTTAACTTAAGCTTATATTATAGGAAATTGTAGAAGTTACAGTGGACAGTAAACACAGTAATCTTTTAAAAGTAGATGAAAAAAACTCATTTATATAAGTTTCAATTTGGATATAATAGAACAAGACTGCTATTGTCATCAGAAGGTGAAGTGCAGGATTTGTCTGAACGGTAAATCTGGATTTCTTTACTCTTCTTACAGCAGGAACTGTGAGATGATCTAAGGCATCATATTAAACAGGAATAAGGCCTAAGGAATATTGTCTGCTCTGCCCATTATGAAACCAAACAAAAACCTCAAAAATCTGTACCAAACTAATGTTTTGCAGTGGAAGCAGACTATTCTATAATGTATTCCAGTAACTTCTAAGTGAGAATCTCAGGACAAAAGAGGTAAACTAGAATATCATTAGTTTATTCTTTCAGTGATCCTGAGGGGTAAATGTAATACTAAAGGAGGGGAGGAAAAAAAAAAAAAAAAATCACTCTTCAGCAAACATGTATCTTGCTACTTATTTCAATGGTATTAAGCTTCATGTGTAAATATTTAGCATGTATGTACAAAATTCCTACTACACTTCCTATGTTTTTCATATGTTCTGTCTCCAAGGTACACAAACACTTTAGGTCAAAGAACACACACTAATGATAAACATATCTGCTTCCTGAGTAGAAGCATGATTGAAGTAGGCCCTTTCACCTTCAGCATATCAAATAGCTTACAAGTTGAAAATGCACAGGTACACAGATAAAGAAGTCTTTCAAATACATTTTTGTCAAAAGCGTTCTTTGTAGAGATCATGTTAGTTCTAACCTTCAAGGACAGACATGAAAATCAAAATGAGACTTAAGAATTAGGTTCAAAAGGGAACAGCACTTTTTTTGTTAGAGGTTTTCAGTGATTTATAATTAGATGGATATTGTTACTGCCATTAGCTACACCTCAGCTAGTATTTTGAATGTTTAGCTATCGTGTTTACAAATGTACCATACAAAGCAAACCACTCCAAATTCTATTATACTTTTTATGCTATTAATCTTAAGACATTATTGATTTTACCTTGAGTTATGGTATTGCTCAGTGTTAAAATTTCATTCGTTTATTGACTGGATTATAAAATTAACCTGCCTGGAAACACAGGGATGGCTAAGTGGGCAGTACTGGAAATACATTTGATTCAGGATTTTCTAATGGATTGTTTTTCTATCATTTGTCCTCTGAATTACAGTACTGCCACACAGTCTCAGTACCACTAATGTACTAGGAATATCTAGAAACCTAAACCAATCAAGTTTCTTTTTCAAACGTCTTTACATTAAAATATGTTATAGTACAAACCATGTATGTTTCTGGCATACTACCTGAATCTCATTTTGAATGTTCAGAAATAAGTCCATTGATACTCCATTAATTATTCAGAAATAATTCCATTATTTCTGGAATGCTGAACCAAGCTGCTTGGCTACTGCTCTCAACACAGTTCTTAACTCATGAGAGGAAGAGTTCCATCTTATATAATTGTCCTGGTGAATTTGATCCTCAAGTCACAAGGCAAACCTTTACCATCTTTTCCAACAGAATCAATATTCATCATTCAAAGGAGTGAACAGTAACTACTCATATTATTTTAAAGCTTTTGAGTTTGTATGAATCAGAAAAGCTATATTGTAACTCAATACGTGAAAAGAGCCTTGTTTTTTCATTTTTCTTCTGCAAAACTGTATCTCCTGTACTCAACGACTTACTTAAGACCTTCTAAGATGTTGAACTCCTACAAAAAAAGAAAATTACATGGGAGAAACAACCTTGTTTCTACAACACCATCCCACAAACACAATTACTCAGTTGGCTTGTGTGCTAGGTTCTATCTCCCACTTCACCCTACATGTTTGCCTTTAATCAAACATAAAAGAAATAGCTACTGAAAACAAGAGTCCTGCTCAAAGATGCCAGCAGTACCATTCCAGTGTCCAGCTTTCTAAATGTATGCCAAGGATCAGCTCCAAAAAGATCTGGGACAGAAATCTCCATTCAGCCACCTGACCACTTGCAATATATTTTCATAAATATGCTCTCATGTTTAATGCAAACAATACAACCTAGCTTAGTAAACCCTTGAAGCAAGTATCAGCTTTGTTTTTCCTCTTCATAGAGGTGTTTTGATTTGCACATACTTTGATGTTATGCTTCTGAAATAAAGCGTACACCACCTTTCCATATATAATTACGCTTGTCTGGATTATTCCCATCTTCTACACAGTTTAAACACGCTCCCTGGGCTTTCAAGAAGGATGTAGGGAAGTGGGTAAGGATTGTAAGTTTTGTACTGATTTTTCTCCCCAATTGAGTTTCTAGTTTAAACACTGTATTTCCAACCGAGATCTATAAATCTCTTAAAACAAACTGTCAGAATAAGATTTATGAAAACTCCGTCTCTGTGGTGTTCTCTAACCCAATTAAAAATTCCACATTGATTGTTTTTGTTTCAGAATACCACCAGTCTAAAAATACTATCATAAACAAACAGCAGTGAGCCACAGATCATTAGCTAGGAATCAGTACAGAATATTTACCTAAGTGAACTGAGATGAAATGGAATATAATTCCTTGTTTAATTTTGACAGGAAAAAAAAGTATATTTTTGTTGTGTTTTTTAAAGGATACAGAGCTTGTTCAAAGGCATCTACAAAATGCCTTAGGGCAGAAGTGACACTACCAGTTTCTCTTATGCTCAGAATGTATGTCACAACAAAATGTATTTAGTTTACCCATCATAAATATTTATTTACTTATGGTGTAAAAACACAAGTTAGGCTTTCATAAATTTTTGTTTCATTTGCCAGACATGCTAAGACAACTCTCTTTGGTTTATTTTTCTAGTGATTTCTCTTTTCTCAGGAATGACACATGTAATTCAAATTACATGTATTGGGATTACACAATTCATGAACTACTCTAATGAGCTTTAATAATGGCTCTCACGTTAAATGTTGAGCATTATAAAGTTCTTACCTCAAAAATTTCGAAGCCATAGATGTCCAGCACCCCCATTACCTTCTTTCTCACTTTTGTTTGTGCCTTTAAAAACAAATAAACAAACAAAAAGCCATTGAGTCAGTCATCTGTACATTTCATACTTGGGAATCAAGAAATCTAATGTATCTCATAAGTAGGCTGTTAAATTCTGTAAACTAAAGTGTGGTTTCCCAAAATACACTTAAAATTACTATTTCCATAAGCTTAAAAAGAGGACAGCAATTTGTTGAGCTGTGATACAGTTATTCACCTGCACCATGCGTAACATGAACAACCATGAAAAATGAAATTGGCAAAAACAGTTTTACTGTCCACTTTAATTTACAGAATTTCTATAGTTTGTTTTTGTTTTGTTTTGTTTTTTTTAAACAGGCACAAAACAACAGTACCTTAATGCTTTCATTGATTCGGGTAACAAGCCAAGAAAACAGTCGACTGTACAAATTCTTTGCCAGAGCATCACGGGCGTAATAAGCCTAAACAGAAGAACGAAGAAAAATGTTACAAATGTTGGGCTAATCCCAAAGTTTTACGTCACTGCTGTATTTTAAAGGTGCTACGGACAGAGAGGGAATGGCTTGTGCAGTGCACTGGAGCTGGACCAGGGGTGCCAGGACACTCTGGCAGTACCATGGCTGGCTGGTGCACCCCTCCGCCCTCCGGGCTGCTGACCGGCTGGAACAGCGGCCACAATCAGGGCACTCTGGCTCCCTTCCTGCTCATCCCGATATCCTCTAAGGACTCACATTCCCCCCTCCTAATCCCCTTCCCCTAAGCAAAGGGACCCGAGCAGCTGCGGTTAGGGAAACGACATCCCTGCTAGACTGAGCTGATGACACACATCCCACTGGCTCTGCAGCACTACAGAAAGATGAACTGGCAGTAATTTTTTTCATCAGCCTGGGGCAGGCAACTCACATCAAATTACACCAGTTGCTCTAAATGAAAACAGTCTGCCACAACACTTTCAACATGTGTTTTGTGCAGACCTGTTTCATTTTTTCATTCTCTGCATCATTTTCCTATCCCTCACCTTTTTGAGCAAATTCAGACACCAAAACAAGACACCCAGTGTATTTGAGCACTTAGAAACTGCTGAAGAAAAAAAACCACACTTATGCTAGTGGTATGTTTTATTCAGTGCAGCCTATTGTAGTTTTTATTTGGGCAGTTACGTTTGGGTTTAGCCAGGTAGAATAAATTGCCATTTAAAACAATTATTTCCTTTAAAATCATGAGCTCTTTTTACCTGAGCCACATTCAGTGTTGTTGAAACCTTCTCTTGCTTGGCTTCAACTGTCCGGAAGCTGAAAGCTCTTTCCAATACGGATTGGTCTATACCCGTCAACTCACAGATTTCCTTGAGTTCTAGCATGAAAAAGGACAGTGAAAATATAATTAATTATTTTGTATCTTTCCTTTTTCTTCCCCAAAACTATTGGCTTTTAAGTAGTTCAGTGTTTTCCCAAAACAGGTTTTCTTCAACAGAGGTGTCCCCCATCCAAAGTCTCTCTCAGCTACCCTGCCAAGCAAAGTTTTTAAAAATATGCAAAGCATGAGGAAACAGAGTTAGTTTGAAAGTGCTATTTGGTTATTTTTGTGAATAAATCTTTCTTCCATTTATCACAAACTACTTTTCGTTATAAAGAACTGTCAAATGAAAATGAGTAAACTTTCAAAATATATAAACTGCAAAAACATGACCAAATGAATCTGATATTACAGACAGAAATACCCTACTACAAAAGAATTAAAAGCCTCCAGTACAGAATAACCAAGCAGTTACAGGAATGCATAGCACCATTTATCATTTCAGAAGAAAGTGTTAATGAAGTGGGAAAAAAAGAAAATAATAATTTTTGGAATTTCAAACAGAGCAACTGAAATTGCACAGAATTCAACCCATATATGTCTGTAGATGAATTTTAGAAACAATCTGATTTAATTAATCTGTAAAGATATTGTACATTTACAGAAACAACAAAATTAATAATGACTTCACATCACTAATCTCATCTTACCATTTTTATCTTTGATTTTACTTTCATCTAAGCCATTCACACGAGATTCAGGCTTAAATTCAATATTTCCCAGTTTCAGAACGGCTGCCACCACTTCAAAAATAGACTGTGTTTCATGATCCATAAAACCAACAATTTGCATTGCATTCTGTAAAGGGGACAAACAAAATTATGAGATAAAAGAACCTACATTTAAACAGATCATCCTTGCAAAATTCAGCATTTATTTGTATTAGCATAAATTAGAAATGTTTTATGAATACTTTTGCTACAAAAAGAACATAATATAATTGCTACACCTAGATAAGTAAGTTTTTTAATATAAAAGACAGGTTACAGAAGCATGGGCTGGCATGTCAGTCAGGTCCACTTCTAGGATTCATTCAGTTTATGGGTTTCTAAAACGCAGTACTTTTTTTTCTTTTTTAGCCACTTAATTTAGTTTATAACCCAACCCAATTTTTCACAGTCAAATGAACAGGTACTGCTGTCTTCTCAGTCCACTTTGTTGCTCTAAAAGCCAGTAACTTTTAGAATCTAAATTTGCATACACTGGGCAACAGGGTCCTGTATTCTTCTCGTCCCTGAGTACAAGCAAGCAAAAACATCATGGTAAGTCATCTTGAGAACCATCCCAGCCCTGTTTTCTTTTGACTTGGTCAGCATCACCTGGTTCATGAAGCTCAGAACTGATCAAGGGGTCTGGGCTTCAACCCCGGTCCCCCTTTTTTTTTCTTTTTCTTTTTTGTATTCCCACTAGAATACTCCAGAAAGTTGGTTCTTTGTATTTTCCAGCTGTAGCTAAGCTCCCCTGTGCAAACATGCTATATTCTTGCATGAAGAGTGCGTGGCACTTTGCAAATGACTCAGAAAAGATGTCCCTCCCAGCATGAGTAGCCAGATCAAGGGCATAAGAAATCTGCATTAGTGTTGAGCCCTTTTGCCATTTACACCCAACCCCTGTCACTCCTTACCCTGACTGTTCTGAAGTTTGCAGCATCGTCCACTCCATTCACTTTGGCAGAATCAAGGCCCAGGTAGTTGTACCTGCTGAAGTCCCGCTCCAGTTTGAGTTTACCTAATAAACCAAATAAAAATATCATTAGCAACTGCATCCTTGTTCGTAGCTCTTTTATCCCTGCATCAATGTTGTCCAGGACTGCTGTTATTAATAGGATTAAGTTTTCTTTAAGTGTTTTTCAATTACAGGCCTTCTGAAAAAGAACAGGTTTTCTTCTTTGTTTATAATACATTGCAAAGCCAACTCTGACTCAGATATCTGGATAATACCAAACCATACATTTACTTCAGGTATTATTATTGCCACTACCACTAATAATTTGAAGAATTAATCAACATCATTTCCCATGAAAAAAGATGTACATGGAACAGCACATTACATATAAAGACGACTCATATCTGAAAATGGCACAAGGACAACACTTACAGAGGAAGTCTTCCGAGGCACCAGACAGTATCTGATAGAAAATGTGAAAGTTTCTTTCACCTCTTGGCTGCTTAACAACACGAGACTTCTCCAGCAGATCTAAACAAACAAACAAAATCTCACAGGTCAAGGAAAGACTGTTGGAGTAAAACACTTTAATATGAATATAATCCCCCCATTGTTTTCTATTTCATTGCTTTATATCACCATCAGTAAATTAGAAGATGATAAACGGTATGCACAAACCTTAGCACAATGTATCAAATTAGTACATGTTTCTCAAGTAAGTTATTTGAGCAAGCTGTAAACCCGGTACACTTCTAAATGCTGCAGTCTATGAGCTGCAAAGAAAACTCAGGTCAGGAAAGCAATGTGCTCCAAAGACATAAACCCATTTACAGTACCCCCACAAAATTACAGTTTGGTGAGAATGACGGTATGGGTGAAGTCTGGAAAAGAACTGAAATGTTAAAAGGCTAACTAACTGCATGAAAGGTGGGTAAATGAAAGGGGGAAAACAAATAAAGAAAGAAATTTAAACTGAATAACCATGTAGCACTTTGGGATCCTCAGGTGCATCAGAATATGAAATAATTCCCAGTGGGACTGAGAGAAGCTCCATCATAAGACATTTAAAGTGAAATGGAAAAGCAGCCCTTTGAACAGCAGCCCTGCACTGACCAAGTAGTTTGAGAAGAAGATTGCTTCGTCCACCGCTGTTAGTGACAGGCACATTTCTAAGACCTTACCCATAAGGGTAGGAACCCGGGCAGACAGCAGAAGTAGACTGACTTGTAACATGGTGCAACACTTCAGATTCTACTTCATACTGATGATGGAGGTGACAATACACGGGTTGTTCAGCCCATACTGCATTGGAAGGCTGTGGTGCCCAGTGCACCATGAGAGGGGAAGGGGATGTGATAAGAGGACCTCTGGACAGGTATCAGTGTCACTCGCTACTTTTGTACAAAAAAATGTTTCCCCTTCTTTTCTCAGTGGCACACAAGCATTCCCCATCATTTTTCCAGACAGGAAACCTGCAGTTTCCAGTATGCTCTTAAGCTGCACATATCCAGTTCATGAAGGCAGAGACATCCAGTGCCCCATTCCACGTGCACAGCAAAGGAGTTCCCCGTGCTCCCATCACTACCTACCCACCACAGCTTGCTCTGACCGGGGTTAAGTTCTCCCTAAGCTGCATCTGTGCAAGAAGAAATCCCCAAAAGGGAAATTACCACAGCTTGGATGTCACACTTCAGATAAGCTGCCATAAAGTTGCGATCAAGCTTTCACAAAAGTGGAACACAGGGAACACCAATCCCTTTAAGGACAGGAGGGGTTGCCAAACACTTTCCCTGTCTGACTGCTATAATATTTGATGCGTATTCTCTAATACCTTTCCTCACATTTTCATTTCTGCTGAAACTGAGCCTGTTCAGTCTTATCAGTCCAGAAAGTTAGAGGAGGTTCCTGGCACAGCCCTCCAGCCCCCTCCAGCAGAGGAGCAGCTGGGGAGCAGGTGCCCCTGCGCCGGGCTGCAGCCCCTGGGCTCTGCCGGCTTTCTGGTACAGCACGGCTTAGCCCAAGAGGGAGTGTCTGCCCTGTGGCTTGCTCCATGAACAGAGGAGCAAGGAGGAGTGCAATACGGTGTATTCGTATTTTCACTAGCTACAGGCAGCACGTTGTGTAATTACCGAAGCTTACACCCCTTCTTGTGGAACAGGAATCAAAGACCAAACTTCCACCCACAAAAGTACACAAGCTCTCCTCCAAATAAGCTACAGCAAGACAGATTCAGAAATTAATTTCTGCTCTAACAATTAGCCAGTGACAACCATGACAAAATTCAGACAGTATTATTAATTTTCAGGTTGGCTTATAGTAGGACAAATTTCAAGTATTTTACAGACCAGCTAAACTATGTTATTCCATAAACATGCATTGTCTGAGAGAAGAACTGTAACCAGCACAGCAGGTGACAGTGAACAGAGCTCCCAGCGACCAGAGCATCCATCTGACTGCATGAAGACAAATACCTCTTCACCATCGAATGCACACGCCGTTGTGTGACCACACCAGAACTTTAGCCTTGTTTAAATAGACATTTGTGGTTTTATAACTCAATAACCCTACAGTCTCTTTCCTTCCAAAGGTGGCCCTGTTTCAGCACCTGGAAGTTTTGCGCATCTTGGTGACAAAGTACACCCAAGATACACTCAAACAAGTGGCCGTCATATACTGCCAGCAACTCATCATTACATTAGGTGGGGCAGGTTACAGATTTCCACTTTTTCCATTTTATTGGCCTCTTCTTTTTTTTTTTTTTTTTTTTTTAAATCACAGATGACTAACATCTGACAGTTGACACTACATTGGAAAAGCATACATCAGAAGGTGTAGTTTCCACCAGCAGCCTCTCTCCCTCAGACTTCACCTCAGTTTGGAGCTCCTCTCCTTGAGCTGCAGTTCAAACTCAGAATCATCCTAGTTAGTCTAACTAGCAGGTTATCCAATCCTGTCTAGTTTTAAATTCGTAACTGAAAGGGAGAGGCTGGCCCACCATCCAAGTGTTAATCCTTGGGCTGAGAAAGGCAAGGTGAGCGCCAGGCAGTTCAGAGTCACACTGGCTGCTAAAGACTCTCAAGTTAAGTGTTGGAACAGATCGCAGCCAAATTTAATCTCAAAGAAATAAACAACTTCAGCTCCCGCGGTGGCTACACACACTTCAGGAAACGGCTGTATTTTCAAAGGATGTTGAAGCAATGCAGTTTGTGAAGCGGTTTGGCTTATTTGGGTTTTAAAATATTCTCTATATATAAATTTACTCAAATGCTGTCAATAAAAGCTTAGCTACATATCGTAGCAAAATATTATAGGCAAGCCTTCTTCTAATTACATGCATGCCTTCAGCAGATTTAACAAACAGTTTCTTGAGCATATATTAAATGAGCTATGTTAGAAGGATAACTGCCTTGGATTTTTCACTGCAGTTTATCTTATTCAGATATTTTTAGAAGAAAGGAGGTTAACTAATTAAAAGTCATCTTTCTAAAGTCCCAATATTCCATATTCCATCAGCCTTTGTAGTTGAGGAAAAAGGCTCCAGATAGCAATTACTGACAGAAAATCAGGTGTTTACCTTGACAAAGCAGCTGCTACCAACTCTTAAAATCTGTATTAATTTTCTGCCCTTTCCCCCCTCTCACCACCCCCCCCCTGTCGTCCCCCCCCCCCCTTTTTTTTTTTACATCCACATTCAGACTGGTAGAAAAGATCCAGACCATCTGCACTACTCTTACGAAATGTCTTCTCTTTGTTTGTCCTAATTAGCATTTTAATAAATCAACCGAATATATTTTCCTTATAGCAACTACTGCACAACCAGTAACTTTTGTGGTAACTCATACATGATTAAAAATTCCATGGACTGCAAAGTCAAAAGAGGAGACACGGATGCACATGAGATTTCTGCACACATCCATTTGGTAATTCCCTTTACAGTGGCACATGTGGACAGATGGTGCTTATCTATACGAAAACACACACAAGCAAAAAACCCCAAGCTCTATACATATTACATTTTGTTATATATTCTATATAAAATTATGTGTAGGGTCTATACAGAGTTATGTGGAGAGAATATACAGAACTACATACGGTGTATATATGGATTAGGTATTCTTTCTGCATTATCTACCAACATTTCCTGCTTGAAGTAAAACTTTTTACATCTTGTGTGTATCAAAGGAACTGTAAGAATTCAATTGCTTTGGAAAGGTCCACCCTGGATACACTTCTTAAATCATACTGTTTGAATATCGATCAATTCAGATGACTCAAAATCCATCCCTGAGGTTCTGAAGACTACTTGTTATTCCTAGATAACACTTGCTTAAATGCAAGAAAACTGTGCAAGCATCCTGCTAAACCATTCAACTGAACTCAACATGAAGAAAAAAAAAAAAAAAGGAAGCTTAACACTTCTGCAAATTCCAATGTACAAATTTACATTAATTTCTTTTTGGTTATTGACCAATGCAGAAAAATTTAGGATATTTGTATTTCTCTAAATATCCTAGAAACTGAATCAACATTCAAGACAGGAATAAGTAAACATTACAAACAAAAAATGACACTACCTTGGTACGTTCTGAATAACCCAGGAAAAGTTTATTTAGTCATAGTCTCTTCAGCTGGCCATGACCAAGGAACGTTTTAGCTATTCAAACAGTTACAGGATATTTTCTAGTCACGGAAGCTTATCTCTCAAACCGCATTATGTTAAACTATGTTTTCTGTTTTCCTACCTTGATTCTTCAGCTGTCATAAAAAAAAGTCACTGATGAAAAAGAAAATACAGTAGTGGTTTCTCAGGAACTTTTTCACATTATTCTCACCGAGCTTATAATAATGTTCTCTTGAATGACATGATGCATAATTGAACAAACAAAAACTACTATCTGGGCAGTATGTGCAGTGAAAATAAAATGATTTCACAATTTAATAAGTGTTAAATCCTGATTACTCAAGTGATAAATGACGTTTCAAAATGAGCTAATCAAGATGTTTAGTATTGTTTGTTGTTTGGTTTGTTTTTTTAAACACTTCCAAACTTAGGCAAGGCAACTGCCTAAACAGTAGCAACTGTACTAACTGAAACACCAAGGGAGACGTTGGAACAAGTTAAGATTAAGAAGAAGAAGAAAAATAATCAACAGGAATGAGAACCTCTGTCCATAACATCTAATCATAAAATTCGTTTAGTATTTCCCTGAGCAAAAGAGATTACTAACAGGAATTACATAACTAAACTCAACAGTCCAATTTGTTGATTTCTCAGTAAGTGAGTAATTACTTTGGTCTTTTAAAATGAACAAACAAGTTGTAAAGAAGAACAAGTCAAAGTTATCACTATAACTTTGATAACTTCAAAAAGTTGTTGCTCTAGATGGACATCATAGATTTCTTTCATGCTGTTGTTGGTAAAGATGGTAAAACAGGGCCCTTTCTTAATCACTTGCTATTTGGACTTTAAGTACACTTTGCTGGTTAAAAATGGCTTTTCAAAAGCAGGCATTACACATACTGTACTTCACCTGCACCACTGTTGTCTTCTCGTTAATCATTAAATCACTGAAGGACTCAGGTATATTAGGAAAGATGACCTAAAGCTAAAGAGCTAGGTATCTTTCAGCAGGTGAAATGTGAAAATTGAAGACTTGCAAATATTCTCAGAAAAATATTGTAGGTTCCCTACTTTTGAAAAGGTGTAAACAACTGCAAGGGTGAAGCATTTTGGACTGTACCATGCAAAACTATTTCAACCATAAAATTTAGCGTACACAAAACCAGTCACAAAACTAACGAACCAAAGTGTGCACACAAACATCACCTGGAGTACAAAACAGAGGCAGCATCTGTGGGCAGAGTCATATTTTACAGCTGCACAAGCTATTGCAATTAGCACCTATTACTTTGAAAACAAACATACCCATTTTTACATAAAATATGTATTATTCTGTAATTACAGAAGAACAGTAGTTTCTTTTCAACCTTTCTCCTGCTCCCATTCCCACTACACCATGGTAGTTATAATAAATGGAAAACTAAAAATAGTATGGATGGTTTCTGTAATTTATTTCCACAATATTACACCCAGGTGAAAGCCAGTTAATTACCCAACACTCCAACTGCCTTTCCTCACAAGTGCTCTGGAAAAAAAAACCTCTGAGCACCTAATTGCTGACAAGAGCATTTATTGAAACAACAGCAACCATAAACACCCTGCAGAAGGACAGAACGAGCAGATACACCTTGTACTCAATTCAGTGAGAGAAAATGTAAATGCAATTTACCTGTCTGGAAGTGCACTTCAGAGCAGCAGCACACCTTTAAGCAGAGACTGGTGTTTGTTACCAAACAGTGACAGGATATTGACAGTCACAGGTGACCAATACAGCAAGGGTTTAGTGTTCAGGAAAGCTCACAAGAGCAATCTGGGCTTCCTAACGCCCCACACACATGAAACAGGTCAGCCCATGAATGGATGGACTGGTTGTTAGCTAGCACTAGGGCTGTGTGCCTCACCTTACACAGCTTCCAGCATCTCCCACCCATCAGGAAAACAAGCTAGCACCTTCACAGAAAACTAACGACTCAGGCTTACTATGTACCTCAGCTTACTCAGCCCTTCTTCACCCTCCTGCTCATCCCCACACCTCACCTGCTACCGACATAGGATCAAACAAGCTATTTGAAATAATTTTTCTTTTGTAGTCTAAGGGAAAAAAATTCCTCACTAAATTAATTTACTTTAAAATTGCATAAATCACAGTAATATCAATTTATTAACTTTCAGTTTCTTTTTATGACTGTATATCATGGCATAGCAATATGTCAAATGCCTTACAAATCAGTGCACTCAGAAGCCCTGAGCAGCCAGGTAATGTATATGTAATGAGTCTATACACATTTTATCCTGTTCAAACATAAAATTAACTTCAGTTTGGGAATATACCGGTTCTGACTTAATAGATGTTACAAATCTCTTCCATTACAATCCCTTCCATTTTATTATTCCCATTCTAATTTTACTCAAAAGATTGCTCAAAACCCTTCCATTTATGGCACATTAAACATTTCAGATCCATCAGCTCCTGCTAAAGCCATTGGGCATTTCCCATTCACTGAAAACTGGACAGGACAGACATCTAGTATGCATTGTCATGATAATTTTACCCTCTAGCTCCATCTGTGAAAGGTTCACTTGTAGGTCAGCCCTCATCATCAAGAAATAAGACCTCATTGAAGGGCACCAGGAGAATGGCCCAAGGGAAGGTCACCATAGCATCAGCCCTACATGAAGGGTCAAGGGCAGATTGACTTGCCTTTCACAGAGCTCCACAGCATTTCAGAGTAGGACAGACCAGACCATTTCAAACAGGACTTTTTAGCCTAATGGGTCTCTGCTTATCTTTGCCAGCCTGATAAAATTAGTAGCTTATTTTCATTACCCTTCTTGCCATGAAAGTAAACTAGGTATTCACAGTGTCTGCTTCCAGCCACTCACAGTATGAAATACAGCTTAGCAATAGAGGCTGTGATCCAAAAAGCCCACTAACTTCATGGGTATTTGGAAATCAAGCTCATCAGATACAACTATGAAAGCTTAATCAAAATATTATTATATCATCTTCTCATCATGTTAACACCAAACCAACAGACAGTCAGAAAGTGAGGAATATTTATGAGTTAACCACACTTTCCCTTTTAAGGACAGGAAACTTGAGCACTACTTGACTTCCTACTCAATGAATTAAGACAACAAATCCTAAATTTCACTAAACCAAAGTAAATTATAAGTGGTGTAAAAGAATTTAAGCTCTTGATATCTCCAGAATGGTGATGCCTCACAACAGAACTATTTCTCATCCAAATAAATGCAATGCTGCAGATGTGTGGAAAAACATAAGGCAGGAACTGCACAGAATTCAAACCTGGTTTTTAAAGAGAGATGGATGGACTATCAAATTTTGCGAGCATTAAATCAAAGATGAGATATATTAACATGCAGCTACAGGAACTCAGTATTTAACTGTGACATATCCTGTTAGTATGAGATGTTTCCCAGTTCAACAAGTAACATCTTTTCCACAACAGGGCTTACACAAAAGGTCTTTATTTTTAAATTTATATTCATCATCTTGCTATTAGATATTTATTAAATGTGAGAAGACAGGGAGACTGTCGAAGATAGGCATCTTTCAGGAAGATCTAAAAATATGTCTGCCTTTGATTACATATGTCATCACATCATTATAACTACATGTAATGCTATAATTACAACATGCAAAGATTTATAAGGCAGATAAACTATACAGGAACTATTTCAATTGCCTTTTGATGTGACACAATATTTTAATTAGATGATTCAGCACAGTACTTTCAAAGACAAAAGAAGAGAGTTTTGCAAAGAGTTCATTTTTATGTATCTGTTTTGAATATGAAATAAAAAGAAACAAACAACACAACTAGTCTGCTAGAACGTTTGGTACGCATTTAATTATTGATAAATACACTGAGTATGTTTGGCCTCTAATTTTGTTGAATGCCAGATGTCAAAGTTAATAGATAGCCGTAAACACTTAAACAGTGACTGCTTTGAGTTTCAAGATCTACTCTGTCACAAAAATCATGCTTTCAGGCACAGGTCTAAAAGCTGACCTGGTCCAGAAAAAATGCTTGACCTGTGAAAAAAAAAATAAAATAAAGCCTATATTTATGCATAAAATTCTTGACAATGTTTTAAAATGTTTATATTACATATGGAGAGTTCAGTTCACCTTGGATGAGTCTCATTATTTCACAACCAGTAAAATGGCACTGGAGTCAAAAGTGTCAGTCTTTAGAAACAGCAATGAATTTGGCTGAGTGGGAAGAGAGGTCAAGGCTAGGTCAGTGGCACCTAGTATAGTCACTCACTGACCTCCTCCGTCCCTTTCAAAAATAAGAAAACCAAACATAGCTTTTTATAGCACAGAAGAGCAATTTCTTTAAAAAGCTGCATTTAAATTCTCAAAAGAAAAGCAAGTCAAAGCATCCTGGGCTGGCATTCAGATTCCAACCTCTTTCTTCCCAACAGACAGCTGGTTAAAATTTCTGAATTGTTACAGACTTAATAGCAGCATCCTCACGTCAAGTAATAAAATGTGAAGCCACCTTTCCCTCCATAAACTCAACAGCTGTCCATCCTTCCTCATGATAAGCCCTTTCCTATATTGTGAGGTGTGTCAGAATTAATACAGAATGCTTTGATTTCAAATAAGTGTACCCACCTCACGGCAATCTCCAGCCTACTTTGGTCATGCTCATGAATTACAAACCAGCATATCTCAGACATCACCTATCATAAACACATGACCTATCAAATCAAGTAACACAACTGATCTCAGGGATTCAAGTAAAAAAGAACCTCTGATAAATTTTATCCATCTGCTACCAGCTTCTGAGACAATATATGGACCCACACACCTTACTCTACCTTTTAAAACATTACAGTACATTCATTATTCATGCTTACTTCAAGTCTGTTTTGACTTACTCTAAGGTCCTCCTTTCAGCACCAAAACAACAACAAAATTAAAAAGTAGAATTTATCACGTAATGGAGAGAGATTTGACCAGATAAATGCAGCTGATCTTTTCAATAATTTAACCATCTTCTTTTTTTAACAAAACATTTTAAGCTGTTAATAGGCTGATATCAAGAGTAATACTCACAGTTGCTTATAACTCCTCCAAGTGGGTCACCCTTGAAATCAAACTCAATATCCATATATTTTCCCTGTGAAAGTAACATATTTTAAGACTTTAAGATCTGTTTAAGAAAAACCGCTCAAGACATTTTTTTAAGAAGTTCGTTGGTCATTTTTACAGGCTAAAACAGCAATCTGGCAACCTCCTGTACACTCCATCAAATTTTGAAAAACAGTAAATGATTCAAATCATCTAAGACAATTGCATTGTCACAGCCAAAGATTTTCATGAGAATAGCTTTAATCCAGTTTGTAATGTATTTGCTCAGTTCCTAAGGTTATATGAAGAAAAAGCACGTTATACAAACTTTCACCAGAATGCCAAGAACACCAAACAATACTTATGGCCATGTAGGTATTACCATACTTATCAGTGCAAGAATGCAGGAAGAAGTTATCTTCCACGTAGCCTTCTTTTCTCAATGTAAAATCATCTCAGAGCATGAATCAAGGCAGTCGAAGGACAGCCGCTCAGTTTGGCTTTAAGGACTGGCTGGCAACGATTACTGTTAGTAATCATGGGGCGTCTGTCCCTAAGCGTGTGCCTGCCTTGTAAAAGTGATGGATTTTTCCCACTGAACTCTTTGCCTCGTAACTCAGGAGACCATGGGCAACAATTAACAGACTGTCACCGCAAAAGCAATTTCATTTTTAGCTGTAGTGGCGCAGTGTGTTTCCTTGACTTCTGTTTGACTTTTCCACTTCGCACAAGATCGCTCCAGTCTTTGCATCATTTTAATTTATATGACAAGTGTTTAATGTAGTAACAGCTACATTTAACAGTGACAAATGGACAGACCCATACTGTGTAGAAAAGCAAAAGCAATGCAGCTCACATTGGCAAGGAAGTTTAGAAAGATAAAAACTGCTGGTAGTAATTCAAACAGATTCCACAAACCATGCACAGAAATGATCTCACCACCCTCTGGTACTTACTTAACAGAGGACAAAAACAACCTATTGAGAAGAGAAGCCTTGTGTTTATACTTCCTTATTCACTGCATTAAGGAGGAGTTTTCTTTTTTCCTTTCTCTTTTGATTTTAATTACAGAACACAAAAAGCAAGCGCTTTGCACTGACTCCCTCTAAGATATTTTCTAATTTACTGGGTATTTGTCAAGATTGACTTGACTCTATTATTGACTCCTTGCTGGCAGCTGAGGCAGGCTAGACAGGACAGTACTTGTACTTTCTTGTTTGAAGTTAATTCTGAGCTGATTCAAATTTCTGAGATAAAGAATTAAATCAGATAATTAAATTTTAATTTCCCAAGGACCGGGCCAGTTAGATGTTTCCAGAAGTATTTTTAGCTTTGTGTTTATAAACAAGGACTTGAAAGGCAAAATAGTAGTTGGTTGCACTTTGTCCTGGAGGGACTTTTTGCAAACAGCACCTCTTCTCCTCTTCGCTGACTCCTCCTCCCTTCTGTAGTACATCATCTCTGACAATTGCATTTTTTCTACCCTTTCTATAATAAAAAATTTTCTACAATGCCTCACATTTTGGCCCCGATCTTGTGATGAAGACCCTTTGCTCTGTTAACAAGCAGGGGCAATGACAGCGCAGATGGAACATTCGTAGCCATATGGAACAATATCACTGACCCTCAAGAATCAGAAGGGAAGAAAACTCTCCCATGTGGAAAAAAAGTTGCTGTATTAGTTTGTCCTCTTTTGTCTACTTTAAACATCTCACAATATTCCTCTTCTGCACACAAATTACACAGCAAATTACAAAGTTGCATTCAGACTTCTGATTTTAGCAGAAGAAACTCTTTACTCAGACTTCTGAATCTCCCATCTCTAGCTTCAATTTTTTTTTTCTTTTTGGCCAATTATCAATTCCTATAATTTCACATTCAGTTTCACGCTAAAAAACCTGAATTCAATCAGTTGATTATAAAAAATATAAGCAGAAGAGTAACATTACAAATTTTTATATTAAAATTAAAGTTGCAAACACAGTTTGAAACATCATAGAAAGAAAATGAGAACCTGAAGTAGCAATTTTAACAAAAAAAAAAAAAGTATACATATCAATGAAAAACAAGATCACACAGAAATATCGACTTGCTAAGCAGACCAGTTGTTAGGCACATGGTTGCTGACATTAAAGCCAGCAGTGCCAGAAAATGAAGGAATCCAGCTGTGCTGTAATTACGTTTTCATCTGGTCACAGACTGTCATATCCTTTTTTTTTTTTTCCCCACCCCTATTTTGATTCTCAATAGAACCCTATGCCCACATCAGAAACCAAAAAGATTTCTGATAAAGAGGTAAAACATCTTTCAAAAAGAGGGGTGACTTCTAACAAGGCACTACTAACACACTGGGGAAGGAGAACATGCTCAAATGTTACAGAATGAAATCCTGATTGCTGCTGAAGGCGTTTGCCTTCTCCAAACACTACAATCCTCGGACAACTACAAGGAAGTTCTCTCTCCAAATTATTCTTTCCCTCCTTACAGATGCCTTGATGGCTGATATAAGGTAAAACAGAAATAGCCAACAACATAACACACTCCCCTAGAAGGAATTCAAATTCAGCCTTGAAGAAAATACTTACAAATCTAGAGGAGTTGTCATTCCTCACAGTTTTGGCATTTCCAAAAGCTGGAGAAAGAGAAGAACAAATATTGCAACCAAATCTATCAGTAAAAAAATATTTAAATACTAAAATATCTATGACTGTTTATATATTTAAAGGAATTATAGACTTCTGAGAAACAATACCCTGTTCATTGTATGGGTATCAGTCACTGGGGACAGAGTATGACAGACACTATCACAAGTGAGAAAACACGTATGGAAGTCCAAAGTTTTGTCTCAACACTTCCTTTGTTTAAAAAAGTGAAAGAAAAAACATACAAGGGGAAATAGTTCCAAGACAAAACTGCACTTGGACTGAGCATTTATCCTTGGGGTTTGAATCATCAAATTTTAAATTTAATTACCAAAATAAATTTAAATATAGAAAATACTTATTTCTCTTCAGTTCAGAGAAAGAAATGAATCTTAGTTCCCAAAACTGAAGATGGTTAAAGATGGAGTCTAGAACTGAGGAAATTACAGAATGACACTTTAAAACTGTTTGCATAGGACAGCCTAATCAATGCTTTCAAACGGAATTATTTATTCTATTCCAACACATTTATCCTAGCTTAAGCTGATTATTAATCAGTTGAAATAAATCTGATTTACAATGAAGGTTTAACACACTCTCTTCAGCTTGACCTAAACTAGCTTTGTGAATAGTTCGGGTTTAATTTCTTTAGCTCAAGTTTTCTGACAGTGAAAATTATCCAAGAAAGGACTTCCCAAGGCTACATTCAGATAGGCAGCCATCAGCTTAGAACATAGGCAGGATAAGAGAACTCACACTGGAGGACAGTTCAAGCTCTAAACATCACACATTGTCAAAGCACACCAAGGCAAATAGGAGTGTCGCCTACATTATTAAGTATAGCACTCCTACTCCAATAGACTTTATTTATCACAGTATTTATTTATATAGCACATATGTTTTCAAAGATCAAGTCAAGTCAATGTTTTTTGGACAGAAATAAAGACATGCTTTTAGGCTTCAACAAACTTGCATGAGTAGACTTATTCTTGATCAGAGAACTGAAGGCAAAAGGAAAAGTTTGTTGCTCCTGAAGGCCAAGGATAAGTGAAAGAATTGTTTTTAGAATCTTTATGCTCTGCAATAAATCATCTTTTCAACAACCAAATCTGAGTTGCATTTTCTTAATGACAGTACTGAACAGTACAGTCATTTATAACTGCACAGAATCAAGAACAAACGTTCCATTATAAAGCATGAGACACATTCCTCAGCTTTCCCTTAAGTTCATTGTTTCTAAAAGTTAATTTACAGTAGCAACTGCAGTTAAAAAAAAAATTCCCATAAGATAAATTATGTATACGTAACATTTATGTCATTTTCTTGCACTGCAGCTCAACTGAAACAGGACTACATAACCAAAGAAAAATAAATCTAACCACAAATGCTTAATTTCTGTCTAAAATGTATATGAGCAGCCAGGCTTGCTCAGCGGCCTTGTGGAATAATCCAGTGTCCTACCTTCTAAAAAGCTAAATAGGCAGTTACCAGTGCACCAAGTAGAACAAATAATACCTTAAAATGATAAGGCAGTCTTCTGCAACCTTAGTCTATTCCTCTTGCATTAAAACAAAGATTCACAAACCAACAAGAAATCTAATACATTTGGTAGTCCCTAGGGAGCAACCTAGCCTTGGCAAAAAAACCCAAAACAAAACCCTCCATACTTCCCATGCTATTTCTGTCTACATCTGAAATCTGCCTTCCAAATAGTGATAAAAGCAACATAGCTCTTCTCTGTGAATCCAAAACAATGGAAGAGTACAATCCTCTCATTCAGCTTTAAATGGAAAATATCTGATCATCAAAGAAAGGCTTATCCAGCATTTTTATTATTCTTAAATTTTAACATTTCATCCTTTCTTTACAAGTCTTTGCTTACAATTTGTTTTGTGCACAGTCAATGACCACATTTTAGCCATCCAGTTCACCACTCTCAGCCAACTTTTGCACTCCCTCTCCTTTTTATAATTTTCTCCCCATCTTCTCACCTGTAGATGTAGAGTGTTTGCTCCTAGAGAGTCCAAATCATCGTATATACATATAGATAGCTAGGCAATAAATGAAATCTTGACACTCAACAGTATTAAAAACACTGCATATCATCTGGCCATAATGCAAAATTATTGTACGGAAGTAACGAGAATTTGCCTCAGCACCACAATAGCCTAGAGAACAGTGGGAAAGACTGAGCCAGGAATCAACACAATAGACCTTAATTAGTCAGTGCTAACCAAGGCACTCCTGGAGGCAATTATTAGACAATAGAACAAAACTGCAAGCTTTGAGGACCATACAGTCTATCTCCAGGAAAAATTAAGATCCTGTTTCTGGAAACCAAAGTCTTTAAATTAAAAACAACTAATTTATTTTATTTTTTATTTTTTTTTTAAAAAAAAGTCTTTCATGGGAGAGCAGGATTCTCAATTTTCAGGAAGACAGGCCGACAGAGTCACCAGACCCAGGAAACAATAAGTCTCAGGGAACAACAGGCATGCATATGGATTGGCTTAATTTTTTCTAAGACCTATTTCTTCACTCTTTTTTTTCTAAAAGAAAAATAATGCTTTACAGAGCTTATTTGTTTACTAGAGACTACAGTAATATAATTTGGAAGGAAATCAATCAGAGGAACTGAAGTCTTTTGATATAGCCAAGCATCATCAAGCAGGGTTAAGAAAGGGTACGCCCTCAGAGAACAGCAGGAGGAGTCTGGGAAATATGAACTAAGTTCCTAAGCTCTCCCTCCATGAGGAAAACAGATTTTTTTTTTTCTCAAGAAAATCTCTCTGTAACTGAATAAAATTGTGTAGCTGTTTTCACAAAAAGCATCTCCTATGGTTTTGGATACCAAATAACAATGAAACAACAACAGATAATTTTCCAAATCAGATCAGCAGAAAACTGATACACACAGAGGTAATATGCTCTTACATGCTCCATGAGATTCTTACCTTCAAGAACTGGATTTGACTGCAAAAGTTGTTCTTTTACTTGATTAACCTCTGCCCCTTTTCCACACACAGCAGCTACATATGACATGACGAGTTTACTTGCCTCTGTGGAGTGAGAGCAAAATAAAACAGTGGTAAGTACTGGCAAATAGGCCATAAAATGATTTGCAGACTTGATCTCCACCACATTTTCACCATACCAGACAGGAACTGTAAGCACATTTCATTACAGTTTTCTTCTCCATTATTGTACCATCTGGACATGAGGAAGGAGCATATCCTGCTATGAGACCCATGTCTTTACATCAGCAGCCCTATTGACTTAAATAGTTAGAGCCTTCCCAAGCTAAAGGAGCCACCAGGGGACATGGCACCTTACTCGCTGCTTTTTCATTTAGCCACAGTAAAAGGCATTCAGTAAGGAAAGAGCATTATCCCTAGCTGACACGTTGAAAATCTTTTAATCTGGCCTGAATGAATAGACCCAAGCAGTTTCAAGAGGCAAAATTCAATCAGTTTATATCAGCAGATACACAACAACACAAGTATAAACATACAGCATTATACACATGTAATTACAACTGCAAAGTACACTACAAGTAAAAGAATAACTGCAATTCAACATCACATAACATTATACAGTCTGTTTCAAAGTATAATGAACAGAGAAAGGGAAGCATTAATTTAAACAATGAAACCAATTCGAAGGTACAAACTTTTAACAAAGTCTGGAACAGTTTTTGGACTGTCCAAGCTGGATTCATATGGGTCTCAATCACCCATTACAGAGAGAAACAAATATTAAATAATCCATCCAACCCTTCTGGTTTTACTGGTCAGGACAAAGAGCAGCTGAAAGAGGATTCTGTTTATGAACACAGTCTGTGATGTTTAGTATGATGAAAGATAGTGAAATTTGAGGCAACGTCAGCTGATATACAACGTAATTACTAACAGCTGGAATCCCTATCAACTCAACACAGTGGTTATAAAAAAACCCCATTATTTGTTCTTCAGAGGTCTGTTACAAATTCAAGGGTTTCATTTCAGAAAAGAACTGACAAACAAGAAGTCATCACTTGGATTTTGATTCTTTCCTATTCAATTAAATTTGTTTGCTAGTATTAAATTACTATGCCATATTGTAGAGAAAACTGAGCAAACATCCAACACATGAAGCAAGTAAAGAAGAAGGACTACAGGTGTGCCCATAAGGCCTCCCATCTCCTTTAATTGCACTTCAAACCCAGCTCTAATTTTTAAGAATCTGTTCCCTTCAGAGCTTGCAATTAACAAATTCTTTGATTTGAAATGTTTCCTAAAACACTCAACGTATTTAACTAGAGCCACTCAATCACTGAGAGAAGAAAGCGCTGAAGCAGCAAATAAGGTATAAAGTAATATACATTAAAACAACACACAATGACTTCAGGACAGGCCTTCAACATCACTGAAAGAACTTAAAAACCCTTTCTTTGATTAGGAACTCTGTTTGGCCAAATAAAGACACCAGGAAAGGAATCATCACCTAAACATCTAAAAACATTTAAATACACCACTTATTCTGGTAACGTACCATGTTTTCTGGCACAATGTTAGGATTGATTAGCAATATAAATATGCAGTGAAACAAGAATGTTAATGGAATGAAGTTCAACAAGGCCAAGTG